TGTATTGGAGATATCCGTTTCGTTTTACCCAATGTGCTGCAATACCTGTATGAGCAGTATTCAATTTCAAGTCTGTAGTTCGGCCCATTTTCTAATGATCATTTCAACAACTGATGATTAGATGAGCAGGCAGGCAGATGTGGCTGTATCGACTAAGGGTAGGGTTATCAACAAGAATCACTTTATGAGAAGGGTTTGCTTGTTATTGTTATATATGATATATGGTCGAAATTATGATCCTGGTGTTGTCGCACTTCATTTTTTTTATGTTAACGTTTCCCAGCCTAGACACTGAACAACTTTTAAACTTTCAGGATGTAAAGATTTAAATCGTTTTTTGACTTTAAATAAATAATAATTTTCAAACTGTGGTTCAAGAACTTGTCCAACGGTAACAAAGGTGAAAAACTTTTCATTTAATGAAATGCATATCTAATCCTAAATAAATATTGGTACACAGTATTAAAGTTTAACCGCATACAATTGCAATTCTCTTTATTAAAATTCAAAGTAAAGATGAAATGTCCACTAGGAAAATTTTCCTCTGCATGCAATTAAAATACCAGACATTTGTCATTACAAAGAACAAATTCTTAAATAAAAAAAAATTCTGTATTTCTTTAATATTACGACTACTTTTCTATTTTTCTCGCTGTACTACAATGTTGGCAAATATTTTTTAAAATTAGCAACATAATTTGTAATCCACAATTAATTTTTATAACAATTTATACACTTTGTTTAAACAATAAGAATTTTCTTTCATATATTTTAACACTTCTTCTTCTAATTTCTTAATTAGTTTTTGCCATGTTGCCTTCCACCCGCCCTCCCCCCTTCCACTCCCCTTCAGTTTCGTTTTTCTTTTGTTAAATTGTATTGTGCCTTCTGAAAAATTCCTTATATATTTTGTTGTGTATACAATAAATAAATTTTAGATGCCAAGTTAATGCACTTTTCCTTTAGTCTTTATATTTTTATATTGTATGGTTTACCACATTTATTACGGGCATTCATAAACGAATGGTATTTAGGGATTTGCAACACATTAACACTACAAAATATCCGCAAGTTAAACGATGAACGTTAGAAATGAAGAATAGGTGAAAATTATTGTAGTTTTGTTTTTGGTTTTGTGAGGTATTAAAAATAATGCCGGCTTGAAAAAAAAATATTCAAGAAATTTGTTTTGGTTATACTTTTGTATAATGAGTTGTGAGTGTTTCATACTTTATAACTGAAATTTTTATTCCCTTTTATTGCAATGTCAGTTGATTTGAGGGAGGAGGAGACGTTTTATATAACTCATAATGGCGAAGAATACTAATTCGGATTACAAAGAAATTACAAAGTCGAAAAGAAAATTTTGTTTTAGCTAAGAATTGTTTACAATATTGCACTCAAAATTCAAAAATTTAAGAGAAAATACGATTTCGGTAATTACTCCCTCTTACTTTTTCGTCAGTTTTCCTCCCTCCATCACTCTTACATATTCATTTTGGAAATCAAAAATGTGGAAATTTTCTTTGTAATAAGATGCCATTGCAAATTCTTTTTCATATTTTATTGCTATTAAATAATTTCGTAGGTAATTTTAGTTTTACCCCACAATTCCAGCCCAGAGTATTTTCTTTTCACTTGTAATGATTTTCATTTTGATTTTACAAAAAAAACAAATTGCTAGTACCGGATTTTACTGAACGTTGGCAATCAAATGATGTTTAAATGAAATTCCTTCTATAAGTTTTTGAATTGATTTAGCAAAAGTAAATATTTGGACTGGATTTGTGACATACAATCCAAAAGAAAGTGCAAAATAAAGCGTTTGGCTACGACTATAAAGACCGTGACACAAATTGTTGAATAAATATACAGGATGCAAGAAAAACAATTCGGAACAAAACATTATAAATAATACCTGAAAATTTCTTGAACAGAAAACCATTAGCTTGTATCATGACCGGTTGGACTCGTACTAATGGAAGATTAACGGTTGCAATCGAAAATTTATTAACGTTTTTTTAAATCTTAAGCTTTAGATTTCCAATACCATCCCAAAAACATAAAACTTTTCACTTAATATTTTAAGTTTGAATATTTTTTTTCTTATTCTCTCTCATTTTTTCCAAAGAAATTACAATTTTTTTCTCTTCCATCGTATAATTCAATTCATTAAATCAATTTTCCTAACATTTCCAACTTTAAATCTTATAATAAATTAAAATTAAAAACTTTTTACTTTCTTTATACAAAAAAAAGAAGATAAAACGAAAACCAAAGAAAACCAGAGAAAAGTTTTCTCAAGAACAAGAAACTCAGAAAAGTTAAATCTTTTAACTTTTCTGAGGAACTAAACAATTTCCCTCATGATTCAAGTAATCACTAAAGAACATATCATGATACTATCAGTTCCATTTTAACATTTGTCATATACACTTTTAATGTGATGATAAAAAACAAAAATCAGCGAAGAAAAATAATTCACTTATGCGACTTCCTCAACTTAATATCTCTGGCAGAGATATTTTCTTTCCAATCGTATATTCTATGTGGGATATGGGGAACTATATAAGTTAGAACAACTATGGTATAATAATATACACCAAAACACACAAGTATTCTTATTTGTTATGTTTAACAAAAATAATCTTAATCTCAACTTACACATGTAATTTTTATCCACGAAATTGAATTCACCTATGAGAATTTTCTCATACATATACAGAAAATATGAAAATAACAAAATTAATGGAGACTCGTTGAATGAAATGAGAACTTTCTTAAGAATTTGTAATCGAAAAATATTAATAAGAGAAAAAAAATCAAAAGTTTTTCCTTGTTTTCCACTTACAATATTATTAATGTAGAAGGAGAAATGTTAAACTAAAAAAATTTCTTGAGAAAGAAACAAAAGAAAATTCTTATCGATGATGTGGAAAATAATATTAGAAAGTTTTTATGTCAGGTTCGACTTATATATGTATGTAGTTGAAAAACATTCTTAATAAAATGTTAGTTCAAAGTTATTAATAGATTAAATCAATTGAATGATCTCCAATTTTATTTATATATAGAGTTAATAAAATTGACTTATCAACAGGGGATTCAAATGTAGATCTATCCTTAAAGTTTATTGATTGATGAAGATTTTCATTCTTATATGAATATTCATGTAATATAATATGATAAAAATATTTTAAGATATGGAAGGGAATTGATAAATAGACCTATACATATTATGTGTGTGTGGGCTATTAACCATATTATGCCAAAGGAAAATGATAAAGTAAATGGAATTTTCTTTTTGTAATTTGAATAATTATTTTTGAGAATTTCTGGAAGTATTTTAGTTTCTCAGCAAAATTAGTATATGGTGAAATTTTATTTATAGATTCTGGGAATAAAATTTATTTTTACAGTATGTTACAAGGCCGGTCTAGTAATAGGTGGTACAATATTCCCACACAAAGAAATACACAAGTACACTTGGGTATCCCCGGATGGTAGAACGAAAAACCAAATAGATCATATATATATCGCTCAGAGATGGGTAAAGTCACTAACGGACGTGAGAACTTGGAGGGGAGCGGATGCCCAGAGTGACCACATGCTCCTAACAGCAGACATAAAAATCAAACTAGCGGCCAAAAGAGTCACAGAAGGTAGTAGACTAAAGCGGCTCGACGTTCGCAAGTTGAGAACAGAAGCTACCAAGCAAGAATTTTTATCAAGTGTCCAGCAGAAAATTAGCAGACGTCAAAATTTAAATCACAAACTAACATATATCGTCAATCTGGTGAGGAAGTCTTGGGCACCGTTAACCATCAAAAGAAAGAATGGATCTCTAACGAAACATGGGCTGCTATAGAACAAAGAAGGATCATAAGACAACAGCTACTGATAAGTAATGATCCGACTTTAAGAGATTCACATAGCTCAATATGTAGAAAAATTAAGAAAATGGCTAGAAAAGATAAGAGAAAATGCTACAACGACATAGCAAGAGATGCCCAAATAGCCGCAGAACAGAATAACGCCCGATTGCTACATAGAAAAATAGATATTCTCTCAAACAAGAATCACCGAAAACTAAGACCTATAAAGGATAAGAACGGCAGTCTACTCACATCAACCAAAGAACAGATGGAAGGATTACTTTGCAGAAACCAACACACATGCCCAAAATACAGAACTCGAAGACCAAGAGCCAAATATTAGAGAAGATCCTACCATTGAAAGAAGGGCACCAACCATAAGAGAAATAGTGGAGGCAATCAGAAAGCTGAAACTCAATAGAACAGAGGGAACTGATGGTATTCCGGCAGAGCTGTTTAAAGCAGGAGAAATTACAGCAGCCAACGCACTGAAGCCAATTATAGAAAAGATATGGCAAGAAGAAGAAATCTCTGGTGATTGGAAAAGAAGAGTAATAATTAAACTACCCAAAAAGGGCGACTTATCTGAATGCCGAAATTGGAGAGGCATAAGAGTGCTAAAGAATGTAACAAAAATAATAGCCCTAATAGTACATGCCAGGATTGTGGATATATTAGAAAAGAATCTAAGAGAGGAACAAACGGGCTTTCGCCACAACCGGAGCTGTACCGAACACACAAACACTATAAGACTAATTATCGAGCAATCAGCAGAATGGAACAGTCCTCTGTACGCAGCTTTCGTCGACTTCGAACGTGCCTTCGACACGATCGGGCGAAACGCAATCTGGGCTTAAGAAAAACAGAATCCCTACCAAAGTAATAAAACTAATTAAGGCGCTTTTCAACGATGCCGAATCAGTGGTGCTACACAATGGCAAGATCAGTTCCCTAATTTCCCAACAACAGTTGGTGTCAGACTAGGATGCCCGCTATCTCCATTGCTGTTCGTCACAGTACTAGATAAATGTATGGATTTCCTTTCGTAGCTGGCAGCTCACACATAAATTACAAAGCCTGGAATATGTCGACGACATCGTTCTACTGGCTCACTCGGCCGAAGATATGCAGCACATCATAAACAAATTGGTTGAAAGAACGGAAATAATTGGTCTCAAAATAAACAAGGAAAAAGCCAAGTTAATGAGAATTAATAATACTAGCCCGGCCCCCATATACGTACAGGGTGTGCCGATAGGGGAGGTATCGGAGTTTGAATATTTAGGCAGTACAATTACAACAGATGGAGGAACTGCTAAGGACATAAAACATAGGATCGCTAAGGCTAGGTGCGCATTTAGCAGGCTATGGACAACCTTGAAGTCAACTCAAATAGCACGCGGAACCAAAATAAGAATATTCAACGCATGTGTTAAATCAGTGCTGCTTTATGGAAGTGAGACATGGTTGGTGTCCAAAGCTAACATGCAAAAAATACAGGTCTTCGTTAACAAATGCCTCAAAATCATATGTAGAATATTCTGATGACAAAACAAGAACCAATAGAGACACAAATAAGAAAGAAAAAATGGAGATGGATTGGCCACATTCTAAGACGCCCAATAACATCGATTGCACGTCAAGCTCTGGTATGGGAGCCCCAAGGTCGAAGAAATGTGGGAAGACCAAAAGAGACTTGGAAAAGAAGTGTGCACAAAGAAATAGAACAAACAGGCAAAACATGGACACAAATAAAGAGATTGACACAGAACAGAGATAACTGGAGAGGCTATGTTGAAGTCCTATGTTCCCTAGGGGAATAACAAGGATATAAAAAAAAAAAAAAAAAAAAAAACTGTTCCAAGGCCGTAAATTACAATATTTACTTTGAGTAATAATAGTGCCTCTAAATTTGAGCTATAAAACTCATTAGCAAGAGGAAGTTATTTTGAATTTCAATTGCAAATGTAAAGTTCAGCGCAATAAGAATATTCTTGAATGAAAAAAATCAATATATCCAACGGTGCCCGAATGGAGGTGCACTCCACCAATACATACCATTGCCCTTCTTTGAATTTTGCTTATCAATTTGAGTTGAGGATCAAAGACGTAGTTTGAAGAGGCCGGCCACCAAACTAGAACTTCATACATGACGACCGATCTCACCTCCGCGATGTATAGCCAATAAACCATATTTGGTTGCAGGCCCCACCTTTTTCTGATAACTTTCTTGCACAAATAATAGTTGCTTTCTTTACTCTCTCCATATTGTTAGATTTCCATTTAAGCTTTGAATCAAGAATCAAATCCAACCTCTCTGCTAAAGGATAAGCGGATTCCGTTGAGTTTCGGAGGAGTTATGCTTGGAACCTTATATTTCCTGGTGAAAATAACTAACTCTGCTTTTTAAGGGCAATAGTCAGCCCACAGTCAGCAACCCAGTAACAAGGGAGTGTACTAACTTCTAGTTGTAGTTTCTATACAATCTAATTGTTCTCCTGAAAAAAAATGTAATTCGAGGAATTCTTCTGTGCCGGTGATTGCTTGTTTTGGAATAAAACCTTTCGTTCGGCCATGGTGTTTCCGTGTTTGGCTTGCAGTTTTATTAATTTATTATTTGAAGATCCACTGAAGATCACAAAATAATGTAGTTCTTGAAGTTAAATATACATATGTCCGGTTCCGATTGTAGTTTCTTCCGAGAAGGAATGTAGTATAACATCATCCATTTTTTTGCGGTACTAACAAAAATTCTTAATTCTTAGACGATCTTAAAATTTTTCGTTAATCACTGAATTCACAGTTGATCACTCAGCATTTCTTTATATATGTACACATATTTTTCTAGTAACTGTAACAATAATAACAGTCTAAAAAAGCAAATGAATACCTTGCAATCCTTAACAATTACTCCAATTTTCTGTTAAATTTCCAGAATATTTTTAAAGTTAATATTGAAATTACTTAGTCAGGATGCTAATGCAATATAAGAAACGTATTTGGTATCTAGCGAAAGTAAAAGAAAAAATTTTATTTAATTTTTAAAATGCTAATTTTGCATACAAAATTAGACTCACATTTGAAATTTGTAATAATGAACCAATTTAAAACTGTTAAATTACAATATTTGCATGCTAAATTTTGTCCCATTCTCCTGTTTTTCCATTCCATTTATTGAATTTTATTTAAATTTCATTTACATTAACATTAAATTTAGGATACTTATGTTTTCTTGGATCATTTATGCTCTTATTTTTTATTCATTTCGATGGTTGTTCATTTAGAAATCCTTGAAAATATTTCATTTCGTTTTTTTTTTTTATTTCTTCGTTTTCATCTGGATTAAATTTTCGTTTTTCATCTTTAAAATATGTAAAATAAAAAAAAAATTATTCAAATTTTTTAAATGCTATTTAAAGAGAATTCAAGATTTTATATTAGAGATTCTAGATATTTTCATTGAAAGTGTCTTTTTTTTCCTTAAGAGGTTTAGAGATCTGGATAAATCAGTCAGGGTATTTGTGTCAGAAAAAAAAATTAGCATGAATATTATGTTTTGTAAAAAAAAACCTAATGTAGTAAAATAAAATTTAGCATTCATATATATTTCATCAAGGGTCCGACTCAAATTAGTATGTGAAATACAAAAAGTGGGACAGGTTTTAATGACAAACTTGTTGTACAGAATAAAAAAGAAAAATATTTGGGTAAATAATCATATTTAACCTACTTTTTACAAATTAAATATTAAAAATTTCAAAAATTTTGACAATTTTCAAATAAACTTGGACAGAGGGGGCCTTAAATTTTTAGAACCAAATACATATGGCATATAGTTTAAAAAGTTTTTGCATGAAAATCTTCAAAGAGTTAAAGAGAAATCTAGTCAGAATTTAAGAAAATTAGATTAAAATTTTGTTAGCACAAGTGAAGTTTGGTGAATTTGTTGGAAGACTGTAAAATCGCTTTCTACTTTGTGACAATCAGGGTACTTTGGTCTCTATAAGGTAAAATATGACCTACAATCATCAATTTTCATACAAAACATATTTTATATCTACCACCAAACAATATTTTTAATAACCTTACTTAAGCAACTTTATATACAAATCCCGACATTTTAGGTTAACCAAGTCAGGTTATTAAGGAATTATGAAAATTTCAGAGCCGGACGATTATTTCAGTACAATTTTCACAATATATCAACGCCATCATATGTAAGACTCTATTTGTTTCCTATTTTTAAATATGACATTATATTTATAGATAAATACGAAACTGGAACCAATATTATGTTATTCTTATTTTTTTTTTTTAAATAATTTACTTTGAAAATTATTTATTTTATTTTAAGAATCACCTTAGGGTAACATAAGGTTTCAATTTATTTAGGTTTTCTAAATATCAATCTTAATTTGTATTTTTCTTAGAAAATTTTTGTTTGACTTATGCACGTACTTCCTTAAAAACTTCTTAAATAAAAAGGACATCATATACGCATATGTACGTAATGTAAACCAAAATGTTATTCTTAATGTGTTGTTTCCTAAAATTATATGTAGAAAAGCTTACCTTGTTATTAAATTTTGTTGTTTTTTTTGTATATACTAGCTATTGCTTTTAATTTTAACAAATAATACTTATATATGTTTGACTTTGTATGATTGAATAATTTCGTATGAAACTACGACAATTATTTGTAAATGATTGCTCTTTATCTCTTTATAAAGAACCTATTATAAAGAACTTAATTTATATATAAAATTTAGTTATAAGTACATATTGGTACCTTCGGGGAAAATATTAATGTATAGGTAAATTATCAACTTATGTAAGTAAAACACATGGAATGCTTATATCATGTCCCAAATATCTTGTGGGCATTAGCATAAAATCAATGAATTTATCGAATATAAGTAGTTAATCAAATGCTTATAAAGCGGATATATATATGAGAAAATGCATGCTATATGTGTAATTCAACCCATTGAAATTCGGAGAAATTTTCTTTAAACTTAGGAGGAATAGAAAAAAGAATAAAGTAGATTTCTTATGCTATCGTAAAGGTTTCATTTCCTTTTGTAAGTTATGGACACCCAGAAAATATATGAGACCCAGAAAATATATGATAAAACTAGTTTGTTTATAAGCAGCGCTACCAACGTTTTTATTTTTTTCGAAATCAAGCCAACTTTGCTTAATAAAATCGAGAAATCATAATTTCGAGATATTTTCGGTAAATGCAATTTTAAGTTTATTACGTTTTTTATACAATGTAAAGAAATTTTCCCAAATAAAAAAAAATTAAAATCTGAAAAAATGCTTAAGAAAACAAGATCCTTAAAATACAGGTGCAAAGAAGAAACTAGAACTCAAATCGAGAAATTTTAGGTCATTTTTCGAGAAATTTAATGATTTTCGATTGGCAGCACTGTTAACAACTTAAGCTATATAGTTTATATCAGACCATATGGAAACTTGAGTAGATTATCACGATTTATCCCAAGAGGGAACAGTATATAGAGGCTTCGTACATCGAAATCTAATATTTTTTCATTTATCTAAGAATTTATTAAGATTATAAAATTAATTTCATTCATATTTTAATAAATATGCATTACACTACATGTTATATATAAATATACATATATATTTATATGATAACAAATAAAATATTGAATGTTATCTATATATTTTGATCCTTACATCCTAAATAAACAATATTTACTTACATCACTGATTTTGTTTAAACAACACTGAGGTTATTCCTAAAACACTTCCAATATTATTTGTATAAATTAAATTCAAAGAATGCAAATATTTGCAAAATGCCTAATTTATTTCACACGCAAACTCACACACAAACAAGTTTTTAATGAATTGTTAATTAATTAAACATTAAGTAATTAATTAAATTTTTGATTTAAAATTTTGTGAAAATATTTCAAATATCATTTTTTTTTACACAATTAAATTTCGTTTAAATAAAATTCACGTAAATTAAGCGAATGTGCTATGTAAATTCACGTTCATATGGCGTGGCATATGATTTTGTAAGAATGTAAAGTAAAACCTATAAATAAATTTTGATGAGCATTAATTTTTGTCACGTTCACAATAACGTTTTCTTATTAACATTCCTGTTAAAAGACCGAATAAACGTACAGAGGGAGTTTAGTACAACATTGAAATTAGTAATTAGTTTAATTATATTGATTATATAGTTATTGTCTTTCACTCATAGAAGCTCATGGAAGCTCATGGAAGCTATATATAGTAGAAGGTATTCTCTTGAACCTTGTGCATATTTTGTGGTTAAAATATGTTTTGTTTAGCAAATTTTGTGGCATTATAGTAATTGCTTATAATGTTCAAAGATTTCTGATATTTCAAAGTAACAAATTATTTTATATAATTATAATTTTAAAGGATTGTTATAGAGAATTATGATATTAGGTACTCAGACGTCTAATACGGACAATATAAGTAACTAAATTACTTATAATACTTATATGATCCTAAAAATATGCAATTAATCAAAAAATCATCAAAAGTTTTTAGAGAATTTTTTTTTTTTGAATATGATATTATATTACGAGTATGTATGGTATGTTCATATTCTCTTAAAGGTATTGACGAGTTCAATATTGTAAAATTTACGTTATGTTATGCAAAGTACCGCCATGTCTTTTGTTATGCATAGCATCCTATATGGTTTATACAGAAATTTTGACATAGCATTTAATTTCATATTGATTAGAAATCGCTTCGAAAATCCCA